GGGAATTGATAGAGAGGCATGCAGAATTGATACAGAGGCATGCACCTTACACCGGCGTCGCTGTTCCGCCTTTTGATTGGTCCAAAAAAACAGTACCTCCCCATAAAGGCGGTGAGGGTGACTGCACTAACATGGCTATTCCTACCATCCTCTCTCACCTAAGCTCTAGTTTGAGATTTCCAAAAGTAAGAATACTGCTATAACCCACGTACTCGTTCGGAACCGCCACATTGCCCATTTAAGATTTATAAATCTCAAATAAGCTAGTAATACAAGCTTTTATAAATCTCAAATGGGCAAGGCTTCTTCTTGCTATATACTCAAGATATATAAAGAGTAAATTATGGCGACGTCCGCCTAACTACCTCTTCCGACGTGGTTGCAATGATTCATCGTCACTACAGACCACTTCCCACTGGCTCCGTTTCCTCCGAATACTAGGCTGCATTGGCCGTCCACTTGCATAATTCCCCGTTGTCCTCCCCCTACCAAGAACGCTAGACTGGCTCCTTGTTTGCCGCTGGGATGAGCTCGATATCTGGCTTTGACTTGGCTGACTTGTCTCTTCTGTAAGCCTAGCTAGCGTCGACTTATTCTTGCTCCCAGGTGGGCGGCCTCGCTTCTTACTACTGGCGCCTTGGCTGCTATAGGTAGTGCGGGCTTGACTGGCTGACCGGCCTTCTTCAGGTAAGGCTAGTTGTGATGGAACAGGCTGCACTATGTTCTTTGGCCTGCCGCGGAGGGATGCAGCAATCTTAGGGTCAAGGATCCGGCGGTATGGATCTGAGGAAGACGTCTCTCGAAGACGCCACCGAGGGTGTACCTCCCACTTACTGAAAGTAGCTGAATCTAACATTTTGGAGTAGATCTTATGGCAGCATGGGATACCCAGCTCAATCGAAACAGTGCAGTCTGGACCACAGGATCCGAGGGGGTCTGGGAATGGCCTCTTGCCAGAAGGCATTGCCTTCTTTGCAAGCCGGCCTTGCATCCTAATTAACGCAAGACACTTTGAGGAAAGCATTGTTCGAAGTTCGCCTAGGTACTCAAAGCGAGTACCTATATACTCCCGGCCTGTAAGCACCTCGTCCTCTGCACAGGCCTGGCGAAAGCGTAGCTCCTGATCGCTGATCATGTCCTGCATGACGTCGACAAGCCGATACAGGTGACTAAGACCATTTAAGAGATAACCCTTAATGTTGTTATTGCTTGACTCAGTGCCAGAGGTGACGCGAGTACCAAAGTTCTGGTATTTTCGGATAAAGCAACGGGCCCACTGTGCTCTTAAAGGTAGGTATGTTGCGTGGAGGTACTGGAGGATTGGGCGTTGGTCGTTAAACTCTTTACAGAGCTTAGTCCAGGCTTTCTCGAAAGTGTGCTCAGTCTCAGCGAAAACAACAAGCTTCCACATCATAAGGACCCCACGATACGTATGAGGGGGGGGCTCATCAATAGGCGTGTTGATATAGGCCTCATCCTCATCACTCAGCGTAGCTATTGCTTGTGTTGGTAGCTGATATCCCTCGTCATCAGACCCACTGCTATTACTGCTACAGCTGCGGTCCTTAACCCACTTCTGCTTAGCCCTGAGCATAACGTTAGAGTTGATGTGGTGGATGCAGAGTTGTTGCTGAACGTCCGGGAACTGCTCGTTCAGTGCAGCCTTCATCTGCTTGTCGTAGTCTGTAATAATAACAGTGGGGTAACGGACTGAGTGTTGGTCCATGAGTTGGCGGATGCTTGCCGAGAGAAACCGGAAACCCTCTAGTCTCTCGTTATCAACAAGGCCGAACGCGGCGTTATAGACAGATCCAAGGCAGGTCTGCCCAGTAGCCTGGAAGAGAGGGAGCTTAAAGCGATTGGTGTTGTAGGTATTGTCGAAGCTAATCACCTCAGGGAATCGCTTCCACATTTGGAGACAGTAAGGAAAGGTCCAGACAAGGCCAACAAGGCGGTTTGGCTCGTCGTCTGCCCATTTCACTACGTATGGGATGTCTCGCTCATCAAATAGCTTGATTAACGCTGCAGTTGGCGAGTATCCAGCTAGTTTCTCTCGGTTCATACGAGCCCTGGCGTTGTAGATATCTCGCTGGGTGAATGAGGACTCTGGGAACTGCTCTTGGACAACAGCACGCACATCGCGAGCCCGAATCCCAACTCGTCGGCTTGTAGTTTCAATGGTATCCTCAACTACCTTGGTAAGCCTGCGATGTGAAGGGTGCGCAGAGGCTTCAAGGCTAGGGCTATGATTATGCTGATTGTACTGGGGGTCTGGATGATAACGTAACAGCCACTTGTCCTCCTCTTGAGCCTCGGCAATAACTTGCCATTTACAACCGCATTTACGAGACTTACGCTGTCGAATGCCAGCGCCTTCTGTAGGCCTAGGCTCGCCAAACCGATCACATTGGAAGGTGTATCGAATGATTCGGCCTCGAGCTTTATGCCTATTCCGCTTTACAATACCAAATCCATTGGCTCTTGCAAAGTTATTAACTCGGTCGAAGAGGGCATCATAGGTTTGCTCTGGATCGCCAGGAATCGGTGGGTTTAGGATTTGGGTTATAGGAGGAGAGGAGGATCGGTTGCTTGGAGTGTGGTAGGAGGCTGCAGTTCGGAAAGACGCTTCGCTTCGAGTAGAGGATGGCCGTGGGGGTGAATAGGGTGGTGGGTTGACTTGGGGACCCCATGTTTGTTGCCATTGACGGACATATTCTTGTTGTCGGAGTAGTGCCGTTGTTAGCTGTTGATTAGTCCCAACAACCTGTCTAATAAGCTGAAGAGCACTACTAAACTGCTCTATTGTAGGATGGGAAGGTTGCTGGGACTGTTCGTTAGGGGGTGAGGGGTTATGCTCTGGAGAAAGTCGTGGGAGGGTAGTCCGCTGGGTTTTCGTTGTTCCCTTAGGGAAATGGCGAGTAAGGTATAATGTAGACTCCATACTAGGGTAATCGTTTGCAAGAGGTCGCGTGTCTTGTAGTATGCCGGCTGGGAGCTCGGTGATGAGGTCGCGCTGCCCTTCAGGATCACCAACTCCATAGAATTGGCTAACGCTAGGGCGGCTGCTTTCTGAGGAGGGAGATGATGGTAGTTGGCCAGATGATGGTGGGAGGCCGTAATTAATCAATGGTCGCTCTCGTAGAGGGGGAAGTCTCTTAGTAGGGGTATTACTTTGAGATTGGCCCTGGGGAACGTCTCTGACTCCAATTACAGAAGCCATTGTAGGTAAATACTATAAGTCAGATTTCGAGGCTTGATAATGTAACCTGAGCGTAAAGGGAGCAAAGGAACAAAGGCCTAGGATACTTTGTGGGCATCTGGCAGAATTTGACTACACTAACAATATTTTTTTGGACCAATCAAAAGGTAGAACAGCGACGCCCGTGTAAGAGCGACGCCCGTGTATCAATTTGCGACGCCCGTGTATCAATTCCCT